CCCAACCTACCCAACCTATCAAACCCAACCTACCCACCCAACCTATCAACCTACCCCTAAACCTATACCCAACCTATCCAACTACCCAACCTATCCAACCTATCCAACCTACCAACCTATCCAACCTATCCCAACCTATCCAACCTATCCAACCTATCCAACTATCCAACCTACCTAACCTATCCAACCTATCCAACCTATCCAACCTACCCAACCTATCCAACCTACCCTACCTAACCTATCCAAACCTACCAACCTATCCAACCTATCCAACCTACCCACCTATCCAACCTATACAACCTACCCAACCTACCAACCTATCCAACCTATCCAACCTATCCAACCTACCCAACCTATCCAACCTATCCAACCTACCCAACCTATCCAACCTATCCAACCTATCCAACCTATCCAACCTACCCAACCTATCCAACCTATCCAACCTATCCAACCTACCCAACCTATCCAACCTATCCAACCTACCTAACCTATCCAACCTATCCAACCTATCCAACCTACCTAACCTATCGAGTGTGATGCACAGAAAAAGTATATAGTTGTGAGCTGTTGCAATCCTTATCTTTGCCTCTTATCTTTGCCTTATCTTTGAGGAAACAGTCAAAGTATTCGTCAAGTCCTTGAGACGTATTGACCATTTTTAAATACTTTTCTGCTAGAGAACAATAATTTGTTCCACTCAGCCTCTTCACCATCTCCACACACATATTATCCAACTATAGATAAGATAAAAACTTATATAGATAAGAGTAGATAAACTACTATAAGTTCTATTACTATAGATAAGAAAAAAGATACTTTTCTCCTCTCGTCAAGTCAGAGACAAAGTGCAAATTTAGAATATCACTTAATAACAATTTATTGGTCATAACCAATTAATTCATCCGTCTAATTTCACAGTAATTCAGTCATCTCCCTAATCACTAAGTGACCAACATGCAAGAACACTTAAAGATAAGACTTTTGTCTCCCATCTTATCAAGGCATCACAAAAACTCTGCTGTTCTTAGATTCTGTTTTATTTAAATTTCTGGCTGGTTTGATCAATTCACAAAAATCAAAAGTCAAAAAAACACATAAACAATGTTTTTTCTTAGCAAATGAATATGATTTAATGAGAGAGATTAAACGAAATCATTCAACGAGAAATAAACGCAAGATTAGAATAGAAGCTGAGTAAGAGGAACGACATTGGAAACAAAGTCGTTTCTCTACCTTGTGATGAGTAGTGGTCATCGAGAGAGGATGAATACATAGAGAACTTCTCCAAGCTGTGAGTCGGGTGGAATGATGACCTCATCTCTTGTAAGACAGTGAAAGGATGTGGTAAAACTAATAGAGGAAAAGAGTTTCAGGAATTCAAACAGTACGAGAAGTCACATTTACAAATAATATTAACATTTTTAAATATGTTTAGAAGCCAATAACTACACATCCCCCAGCAACAACTACCAACACAGTGATGCCCCAGCAGACTTGAAACCTCCCAGCTCCCAGCAGACTACAAACCTCCCAGCTCCCAGCAGACTACAAACCTCCCAGCTCCCAGCAGACTACAAACCTCCCAGCTCCCAGCAGACTAGAAACCTCCCAGCTCCCAGCAGACTACAAACCTCCCAGCTCCCAGCAGACTTGAAACCTCCCAGCTCCCAGCAGACTACAAACCTCCCAACTCCCAGCAGACTACAAACCTCACAGCTCCCAGCAGACTACAAACCTCCCAACTCCCAGCAGACTACAAACCTCCCAGCTCCCAGCAGACTACAAACCTCCCAGCTCCCAGCAGACTACAAACCTCCCAGCTCCCAGCAGACTACAAACCTCCCAGCTCCCAGCAGACTACAAACCTCCCAGCTCCCAGCAGACTACAAACCTCCCAGCTCCTAGCAGACTACAAACCTCCCAGCTCCCAGCAGACTAGAAACCTCCCAGCTCCCAGCAGACTACAAACCTCCCAGCTCCCAGCAGACTACAAACCTGCCAACTCCCAGCAGACTACAAACCTCCCAGCTCCCAGCAGGCTAGAAACCTCCCAGCTCCCAGCAGACTACAAACCTCCCAGCTCCCAGCAGACTACAAACCTCCCAGCTCCCAGCAGCCTACAAACCTCCCAGCTCCCAGCAGACTACAAACCTCCCAGCTCCCAGCAGACTACAAACCTCCCAGCTCCCAGCAGACTAGAAACCTCCCAGCTCCCAGCAGACTACAAACCTCCCAGCTCCCAGCAGACTACAAACCTGCCAACTCCCAGCAGACTACAAACCTCCCAGCTCCCAGCAGACTAGAAACCTCCCAGCTCCCAGCAGACTACAAACCTCCCAGCTCCCAGCAGACTACAAACCTCCCAGCTCCCAGCAGCCTACAAACCTCCCAGCTCCCAGCAGACTACAAACCTCCCAGCTCCCAGCAGACTACAAACCTCCCAGCTCCCAGCAGCCTACAAACCTCCCAGCTCCCAGCAGACTACAAACCTCCCAGCTCCCAGCAGACTACAAACCTCCCAGCTCCCAGCAGACTACAAACCTCCCAGCTCCCAGCAGACTACAAACCTCCCAGCTCCCAGCAGACTACAAACCTCCCAGCTCCCAGCAGACTACAAACCTCCCAGCTCCAGCAGACTACAAACCTCCCAGCTCCCAGCAGCCTACAAACCTCCCAGCTCCCAGCAGACTACAAACCTCCCAACTCCCAGCAGACTACAAACCTCCCAGCAGACTACAAACCTCCCAACTCCCAGCAGACTACAAACCTCCCAGCTCCCAGCAGACTACAAACCTCCCAGCTCCCAGCAGACTACAAACCTCCCAACTCCCAGCAGAATACAAACCTCCCAGCTCCCAGCAGACTACAAACCTCCCAGCTCCCAGCAGACTACAAACCTCCCAGCTCCCAGCAGACTACAAACCTCCCAGCTCCCAGCAGACTACAAACCTCCCAACTCCCAGCAGATGAGAAACCTCCCAGCTCCCAGCAGGCGAGAAACCTCCCAGCTCCCAGCAGATGAGAAGCTTCCCAGCTCCCAGCAGATGAGAAACCTCCCAGCTCCCAGCAGATGAGAAAGCCTCCCAGCTCCCAGCAGATGAGAAGCTTCCCAGCTCCCAGCAGACTACACACCTCCCAGCTGGTAGTTTATGAGTCAGAATTACGTGAACTCATCCTTATAAACAACCCGAATTACCTCCAAGCTAGGAAATCATCATTCATTTCCCTTTTATATATAAAAATGCGAGAAAGAGGAAGGGAAAGATGGAACAGGAGGAGGAGGAGGAGAAGAAGAACCAGAGTGGATATCCCGGTACAAAGGGGGTGGTTATCCTACGCATATCCAGCGCGGTAATCCTAACCCGATTATTCAAGGCCAATTTGGGGGATAATTAAGATATAAAGTTCTCCGACAAGGTGTAATTAGCGGCGGGATGAGGGATTACCTGCCCCGTTGCTTATCGATAATTGCCCGAGGTAAAATACGGCAAATGACCACACACCACCAACAGGGAATGGGCCCCAGAAATTGCCCCTGTTGGAGGGGGGGGGTATTCCTGTTGAGGAGCCCTCTAGCTCCCTCCTCTGTTGTTAAAGCCGTTTGTTGCATTTTCCGTTTGCCGTTTTTCGTGGCGTTTTCACTGTTTGGGTTTTATTTTCGTGTTTATAAGGGTTCGATTCCCCAATTCGAAAGCAAGGTAGCAGCAAGTGCTGAGTGGACAGCGCTTCGGATTCGTAGTCCTGAGGTTCCGGGTTCGATCCCCGGTGGAGGCGGAGACAAATGGGTCAAAATGTTTCTTTCATCTTGATGCCCCTGCTACCTAGCAGTAAATAGCAAGGGGGGGGGGTCACATTTACGATATCTTCGGTGCGTTGGTTGTCAGGCAGGTTACGATAACGGGGGTTGAGATAACAGGCTGTGTTAGGCACGTATTAGAGAGCCAGATAGCATAACTCTCTCTCTCTCTCTCTCTCTCTCTCTCTCTCTCTCTCTCTCTCTCTCTCTCTCTCTCTCTCGGTCTCTCTCTCTCTCTTCTCTCTCTCTCTCTCTCTCTCTCTCTCCCTCTCTCTCCTCTCTCTCTCTCTCTCTCTCTCTCTCTCTCTCTCTCTCTCTCTCTCTCTCTCTCTCTCTCTCTCTCTCTCTCTCTCTCTCTCTGTCTTCCACATCTTGTGAAAAACTTACCAGGAACCAGGCACAGGTGACTAAGGGGCTTCTAGGAGCCCCTGAACTAGCTAGGATCACCCTAGCTAGGACCCTAGGGTGATCAGGTGGAGGAAACAACCTGAGGTTAATGGTCATCTCTCTAGAGTGACGAATGAACGAGATCTGAACAGCTGAGATGAGGCCGGAGATGCCCCCAGCATCCTTATACAGGGAGGAGATGGGATTAAACAAGGGATGGACTTGATGCTTCTGAGCTTAGAAGGATTAATGAGGTGTTGGTGGCAGTGTGTGGTGTTGGTGGCAGTGTGTGGTGTTGGTGGTAGTGTGTGTGGTGGTGGTGGTAGTGTTGGTGGTGGTGGTAGTGTGTGGTGTTGGTGGTGGTAGTGTGTGTGGTGTTGGTGGTAGTGTGTGTGGTGTTGGTGGTAGTGTGTGTGGTGTTGGTGGTAGTGTGTGGTGTGTGGTGGTAGTGTGTGGTGGTGGTGGTAGTGTGTGTGGTGTTGGTGGTAGTGTGTGTGGTGGTGGTAGTGTGTGTGGTGTTGATGGTAGTGTGGTGTTGGTGGTAGTGTGTGGTGGTAGTGTGTGGTGGTGTAGTGTGTGGTGTTGGTGGTGTGGTGGTGTTGGTGGTAGTGTGTGTGGTGTGGGTGGTGTGTGTGGTGTTGGTGGTAGTGTGTGTGGTGTTGGTGGTAGTGTGTGTGTGTGGTGGTAGTGTGTGTGTGTTGGTGGTAGTGTGTGTGGTGTTGGTGGTAGTGTGTGGTGTGGTGGTGGTAGTGTTGTGGTGTGTGTGTGGTGGTGGTAGTGTGTGGGTGTGTGGTGGTGGTGGTAGTGTGTGGTGTTGGTGGTAGTGTGTGTGGTGTTGGTGGTAGTGTGTGGTGTGGTGGTAGTGTGTGTGGTGTTGGTGGTAGTGTGTGGTGTTGGTGGTAGTGTGTGGGTGTTGGTGGTAGTGTGTGGTGTTGGTGGTAGTGTGTGTGTGTTGGTGGTAGTGTGTGGTGTGGTGGTAGTGTGTGGTGTGTGGTGTGTGTGGTGTTGGTGGTAGTGTGTGGTGTTGTGGTAGTGTGTGGTGTTGGTGGTGGTAGTGTGTGGTGTTGGTGGTAGTGTGTGGTGTTGGTGGTGTGTGTGTTGGTGGTAGTGTGTGGTGTAGTGTGTGTGGTGTTGGTGGTAGTGTGTGTGTGGTGTTGGTGGTAGTGTGTGGTGTTGGTGGTAGTGTGTGGTGTTGGTGGTAGTGTGTGGTGTTGGTGGTAGTGTGTGGTGTTGGTGGTAGTGTGTGTGGTGTTGGTGGTAGTGTGTGGTGGTGGTGGTAGTGTGTGGTGGTGGTGGTAGGTGGTGGTGTGGTGGTGTGTGGTGTGTGGTGGTAGTGTGTGGTTGTGGTGTAGTGTGTTGTGGTGTGTGTGGTGGTGTGTGTGTGTGTGTGGTGGTAGTGTGTGTGGTTGTGGTGGTAGTGTGTGGTGTTGGTGGTGGTGGTAGTGTGGTGTTGGTGGTGTGTGTGGTGGTGGTGTTAGTGGTGTAGTTGGTGGTAGTGTGTGGTGGTGTTGGTGGTAGTGTGGTGTGTGGTGGTAGTGTGTGTGGTGTTGGTGGTAGTGTGTGTGGTGTTGGTGGTAGTGTGTGGTGTTGGTGGTAGTGTGTGTGGTGTTGGTGGTAGTGTGTGGTGTTGGTGGTAGTGTGTTGGTGTTGGTGGTAGTGTGTGTGTGTTGGTGTAGTGTGTGGTGTTGGTGGTAGTGTGTGGTGTTGGTGGTAGTGTGTGGTGTTGGTGGTAGTGTGTGTGGTGTTGGTGGTAGTGTGTGTGGTGTTGGTGGTAGTGTGTGGTGTTGGTGGTAGTGTGTGTGTGTTGGTGGTAGTGTGTGGTGTTGGTGGTAGTGTGTGTGGTGGTGGTAGTGTGTGTGGTGGTGGTGGTAGTGTGTGGTGTGTGTGTGTGGTGGTAGTGTGTGTGGTGGTGTGGTGGTGTGTAGTGTGTGGTGTGTGTGTGGTGGTAGTGTGTGTGGTGTTGGTGGTAGTGTGTGTGTGTGGTGGTAGTGTGGTGGTGGTGTGTGTTGTGGTGGTGGTGGTAGTGTGTGGTGTTGGTGGTAGTGTGTAGTGTTGGTGGTAGTGTGTGGTGTTGGTGGTAGTGTGGTGTTGTGGTGGTGTGTAGGGTGTGTGTGTGTGGTGGGTGGTGTGTGTTGTGGTGTGGTGGTAGTGTGTGGTGTGTGGTGGTGGTGTGTGTGTGTGTGTGGTGGTGGTGTGTGTGGTGTGTGGTGGTAGTGTGTGGTGTGTGTGGTGTGTGTGGTGTGTGGTGGTAGTGTGTGTGGTGTTGGTGGTAGTGTGTGGTGTTGGTGGTGGTAGTGTGTGGTGTTGGTGGTAGTGTGTGTGGTGTTGGTGGTAGTGTGTGGTGTGGGGTGGTGGTGTGTGTGGTGTGGTGGTGGTAGTGTGTGGTGTTGGTGGTAGTAGTGTGTGGTGTGTGTGTGGTAGTGTGTGTGGTGGTGGTGGTAGTGTGTGGTGTAGTGTGGTAGTGTGTGTGTGTGTGGTGGTGGTGGTAGTGTGTGTGGTGTTGGTGTGGTAGTGTGTGGTGTGTGGTGGTAGTGTGTGGTGTTGGTGGTAGTGTGTGGTGGTGGTGGTGGTAGTGTGTGGTGTGTGGTGGTAGTGTGTGGTGTGGTGGTAGTGTGTGGTGTTGGTGGTGGTAGTGTGTGGTGGTGGTGTAGTGTGTGGTGTGTGTGGTAGTGTGGTGTTGGTGGTAGTAGTGTGTGGTGGTGGTAGTGTGTGGGTGTGTTGGTGGTAGTGTGTGGTGTTGGTGGTAGTGTGTGGTGGTGGTGGTAGTGTGTGGTGTTGGTGGTAGTGTGTGGTGTTGGTGGTAGTGTGTGTGGTGTGGTGGTAGTGTGTGTGTTGGTGGTAGTGTGTGTGGTGTTGGTGGTAGTGTGTGGTGTTGGTGGTAGTGTGTGGTGTTGGTGGTAGTGTGTGGTGGTGGTAGTGTGTGTGGTGTTGGTGGTAGTGTGTGGTGTTGGTGGTAGTGTGTGGTGTTGGTGGTAGTGTGTGGTGTTGGTGGTAGTGTGTGGTGTTGGTGGTAGTGTTTGAGGACCACATGACATTTTTCCATCTGCTGTCAGTGTCCTAATTATGGAGTCTGTGTTTTCACTGTGATTTTCGATTTCTTCGAACTTCCGCTACCATTTTGCTAGGAGTGAGTGTATTCACCTAGTTGTATTCAACTAGTCGTGCTTGCGGGGATTGAGCTCTCCTCTTTCAGTCCGCCTCTCAACTGTCAATCAATCAACTGTTAGTAACTACTTACTAACTTCCCCCCCCCCCATCACACACATAACACAGGAAGCAGCCCATGACAGCTGACTAACTCCGAGGTAGCTATTTACTGCTAGGTAACAGGGGCATCAGGGTGAAAGCAACTCTACCCATCGGTTTCCGCCGGCGGCCGGGATCGAACCCGGACCCTGGGATTACGAGTTGTGTTTGCGGGGGTTGAGCTCTGGCTCTTTGGTCCCGCCTCTCAACCGTCAATCAACAGGTGTACAGATTCCTGAGCCTACTGGGCTCTATCATATCTACACTTGAAACTGTGTATGGAGTCAGCCTCCACCACATCACTGCCTAATGCATTCTATTTGTCAACCACTCTGACACTAAAAAAGTTCTTTCCAATATCTCTGTGGCTCATTTGGGCACTCAGTTTCCACCTGTGTCCCCTTGTGCGTGTGCCCTTTGTGTTAAAAAGACTGTCTTTATCTACCCTATCAATTCCCTTCAGAATCTTGACTGTGGTGATCATGTCCCCCCTAACTCTTCTGTCTTCCAGCGAAGTGAGGTTTAATTCCCGTAGTCTCTCCTCGTAGCTCATACCTCTCAGCTCGGGTACTAGTCTGGTATCAAACCTTTGA